GAGATTTTTGTACTCTCATATCAGTAAGGCCAAAAAATTGCTGAGGATCACAAAAGGATTAGGGAAGCTAATGGTGTTGCTCCGTTAACAGAATGCCCGTGGGAAAATTTGAGATTTATCATTCATAGATTGTCAGTGTTCTGATTGGGTTATCTAAGTTAATGATGGCCAATTCAGGTCCTTATTTCAATCGAATCATGCTTATTTAACTGTTCAGAATCAATACAGAATATAGACATATGGTAAATGTATTTGCAGTCTTACGCCTAAAATTTAGTAAATGCATTGTCTGCATTGACGAACGTTTCGGCATCAAAAACGGGGCCATATTAAATGCGAGCTTTTTTATTGATAAATCAAGATGTTTTTAGTGATCTAGACTTCACTTCTATTCGTTATCAACTATTAGCTGGATAGTTGATGCTCGTCAAAGTCAAACTCTAAAATTTAATTTCAGAATCCAGTCCATTTCTCTGAATCGTATTCATGGTGTAACGGTTCTTTTGCCACTAAAACGGAATTTCTTGGTTCTAATTGTGTGCAAATCACAAATAATATATAGCGCAGGACAGGGTATCTTAATGTTTTATCAACTTGAATCTTGAGGCTTTAATCTTTTTTGGTTAAGACTTTGTATTCACTACGGGAGGTATGGAATTTGTATGTAGAAATATTCTGTAAAAAACTATTTGAGGAATGAAAGTTGTATTGCCTTCAAAGATTCTTTCCTCGAACCCTTGCTCTTTTGCAAAGGAACCTAGACATTGTTATTCTTAGTATTCTGCAGTAAAACTTTTCTATTTGTTCGATTTTATATTTATAATTAGTACTGGTCTGTTCCTTGTAAAGGAACCAAAAAATTAGAAAGAAAACTTGGCAGGGTTGTCATCATAGGAATTAAAGTTATATAAATAATGGTAACTGTCTTCAGCTTACAACAAAATAAATTGGTCTCAAAAACTAGCAGTCTTGCTTAATAGACGTAGGCGATGGTTGTTAAGGTCGTGGCATCACATAATTAGTTTTCTGTTTTCGCTTACACCTACACTACAAAAAATCATTTAGGAAACAGGCACTGTTTCAAGGTTACTTCTGACAAAGCTTGCTCCTCATGTATTGTGCTTTATTTCAACGTAAGTTCACCATTTGAAAAATATTTATGAGATTTTTTAGTTAAATAACTAAAGCTAAAAGGCTTGCGAGCCTGAAAGTTACCCAATAAATCGTTGTCTGGATCTCCACTTCGATAAACGTTGACTTTTCGATAGTCAAAGGTCTTGAATACATTAGACGCACTTATAATAAGTATAATTATAGTGCATTTGATATAGGAGTATTTGCCAATATGATCTTGAGCCAAATTGCCGTGAAATTGTTGAAGTCCCTCTGTGTGCTGATGAAGGTTTTGCTTATAAGCGGTAGCAAAACTCTTTTTTTGACTCCACACAAAACCTCTCATTTTCCCCAAACCAACGTAGAAAAAAGAACGCAATTTGGACTATCGTCTCAATTAAATTTTCATTAAATTATTACTTGTATTGGGATAGTGTCATAATGATTTTGACTCATATAAATTTTACGAAATAGCAAACGTTTCAGTTATTTCTTTAAATTGATTGCAGAATTACTCTGAGACGGCATTTTCATCTGTGCCAATTAAAAACGAGGCATGTTTGCAAAAATAAAATTCCACGGAAATCCCATTAACGACTTTTTGCAAAGTTTAATGATAATTATGCGCGTTTAAAAGAAGTAAGCAATTACACGCTACTCCTTAGATTCCGTGTATCTCAAAAGACTAAGTGGTTCGATAAATCTTGCTCTATGCACCACTAAAATTTCCTCCATCGCCATATGAAACCAATAGCTAAATTCTGCTCTTCATGAATTTTTTTATTCTGCATAAGTTAAATTTCGTCTTTGCAACTTAGACATGCTAATTCGCATACAAAGGCTAAATACGAATGAACTACGCGTCGTTACACCCCAAAATCTGTATAGTATCATCTACATGACAATGTTTATACAATTTGCTCTTTCAATTATTCTAAAGTTTAGGCAAACGTTAAAACGTTTTTTGTACTTAAAGTTGAGTTTCCGTGGGTTAAATATTAACCACCTCCTTTAAAGTGTTCTGATTTTGTAGGAATGAGCGATTTAGTGATTTTCTCGTCCCGTGGTTGATACCAAACACCCAATGAAGTGAAGTGCGTATTATTAAGTGAACTTGTTAGGCAAGCTTTATTTGTGAATGTTCGACCGTTAAATTAGTACGTTTTGAGCAAATAGGTAAGAGGAAGCACATGTTCTAGGCCTTTGTGAAAACCGACTTGACAATCTTTGGATTGAGATACACTAGTAAGGGTTGCGTTTTCTAGATCCGTTCATTAAACTGCGTGACACTTTGATTTCGGACAAATGGTTAGGAAGAGATCTATGGAATGAAAGGTATTGCAAATTTATTTATTTCGCTTTTCCCCAATCTGAAACCTCACTTTGCATCTAAACTTAATAGCACTTCAATATTACTTTATCTTGGAAATGGACGTAGACGTGAAACTGTCTTAATTGATCGCATGAGTTTGACTCGATTGTCTGTCACAAAAGGTAGGAATTTCAAAAAAATTAATCTAACTTTGAGAGCTTGATATGAAGTGCAGCTGAAAACCAAGTGAATTTCCAAGATTGGCAGCTGAAGGGAAATCGTGGAAGAGGTTATAACTAAAAGAATGAATTATTTTAATTTTTTAGGAAGGTGATACCTAATAACATTTTGCACTCCTTTTACCTGGGCATAAAAATATGGTTGACATTTTAGTGCGTTGTTTAAGTTATATATATTTTACCCGCTCATCTCACCAACCACGTATCACTCCATCGGTTTGGTGGTTTTGTCCTACCACAGAATGGGACCTGCCCACAACTGGTACATTGGTACCTTTGGGTGCCCATTAGCGATAATTCAACCTGCAGACCATTTGACAAGTTTGCACGATGAAGAGTAGGCGTTTTTTGGCTAAACAAGACATGATAAAAATGAACAGATTTAATAAAAAAATATGGGAACAAACGGACTGCAAAATTGTCATACACTACAAATTTCAGAAGAATAAGGAGGGAGGGTTTCCTCAAACTCCGGCATATCCCGACAAAAAGTAGACACTTCTTCAACAACGTTTGCATAGGCTTAAGGCAAGACAAGCATTCGTACGATTTTATTCCAATTAAGTTGTTTGCTTACAATAAAGTATGTAGGATCCAACGTATGCACCTCATAAATTCCAACTTTAACTGTTATCAATCAACCAGCTCGACGAACAGCAAGGGGCTAATTTGTGTCTCGATAACGTATTCTCATTGCCTACTGTCAGGCCAGTCTCCATGACAAATGGACCCTGGAAAGCCAATTTACTCGTGCATTAATACAAGCACAACCAGGGCCACAGAGCTTTATGCAATTTTCTAATAATTTACAAGTAAGGGGTTCTGTTAATTGTGTTTAATTTAAAGTCCATCATTGGGTTTCCCTAGATATTCTACGGCCAAAATTAGGCTATGATGGAATTTTTACATCCCTGGTAGGTTCAAACAGCACTTTAATTCTGTTATGTACGATTTCTTGCCTTAAGAATTATATTGTGTATAAACGATGCTGCATTGAAGATAGGCACGAGTGAGCTACTATGATTGGTGCTATTCAGATTACCGGAGCCTACAACTAAATGCTGGTGAAATTTATTTTTAATTGGTGTCCTTATTTGCCTACTTATTGTTATCAACTTACCACTGTGCCATTATATACACATGCAGTTTCATATGAGCTTCACGAAGACTTATTACAAGGAATAATGGAGTTTGAAATAAGTAGGTAAATCAATCACTATACTTGTGATGCACAACACGTCTTCTTTCATCACCAAAATTATTTCCCATCACTCGAAGACGTTCCGACAAGGTTGTTTAATCCACAATTAAGCAAGTTAATTAGTGTGACATTTGTTTCCATAAATTTGCGGCTTTGTGATGTACATGAAAACGTCTACAAGCCACCTCTTCCTGCGGATGAACCGTATCAATTAATGATTAATGAGGATTCAAATTCAATCAATATTGGGTAATTTGGCCTCATAGAACTTGCAACTTTGCTTGTATTTGGACAAAGTGACTTATACTTTGTCACAAAATAATTTCCACAACTTCGAAATTTGATTTTGCTCTTGGATTGCCTAGGTAGGTAGCAAAAATAGAAGTCAATTATCTATACTTCATGTCGTCTGATCTTTCACTTTAGGCAGTATGATTATAAGATCAGAATTCAACGTTAGGTGTTTATAATAAATCTCTTAGCCCTTCACAAAAATCAAAATGTTTTTTGTAGAAAATCTAGTTGCTGTTTATATCAAGAGCCACAAAACAGAATCATAACTTAATTTTGAGATCAACTGATTTGTTGGTGAACAACAAATCAAGTGAATTCCTGATGATTTCTTTATCTTTTTGCACTTATATCAAGTTAGGCTCAGATATCAAATGATCATTGCAGTTTTTGCACCCTAATTCATAAGAGAAGTTGCATTTTGGAAGGGATTACTTGGCACTTTTAACATTGCAAATTACTGACTCAGAAACCTCCGTAAAATGTCCACAAATTGCCACATCAAAGATCTAATGCAGAAAATCAACCAATAAATACGTCACCTTAATTTCTAACCTTCTGTAACAATTCCTTTATCTGGTGGATGAAATGAGACTGGTAAAGTTGAAATACGAGATAAATTTGCGTGCAGGAACATAATTATGCATTTCGGTGTGAAATGACTTTCTTTTAGTTATGAAGTATGCTGAAATATTAACCTTTATGCTACCTTGCTTATACTTATTCACAAGCTTCTGGTCTATGCAAATGATTAAGTAGAGTTGTAAGTTTATAAATGCAACTGCGAAAGTCGAGATTTATTGATTTCACCAAACGCACGTTGATATTTTCTTACTTCTAAAGAATGTCTTGGCTACGGACGTGTGCTTTCATCATACTTCGTGTTCTCACAATCTCCTCGTCAGACACAAGGCTTGCTTCCGTGAGAGGTGCTGTTGCGCTACGTCGGCATTTTCATTACAACTCCACACGATCAATCCGTCGTCACTTGAATTTCTCGTCTCCATCAGGTCTCAAAAATGACCAAGGCCTTGTGCGACTTAAACTGCAGACCTTTATTTTTGAGGTCACGCATTACCTCAAGGCTGAAAAGGATGACTCCAGTGGGCACATGAGGAAACTCATGAAGCAGTACCCCTATCTTCCACTCGATCCCGGATACTCTTCCACGCTAATCACCGCCTACCACCCGTTGTCAGTTCAGGCGGAGATTTGCAAGCAGTTCCACGAGTCGAGGTGGAAGAACCACGATTACGTACCGACAAGCCTTTTTGTGGTAAATGATATCGGCGCGATGGTAAACAGACCGCGGCATGATAGGCTTCTGCAGTTGTTTTTCCAGATAACTGCTTCATTGGGCTTACCTACTTTTACATGGATGCCGAACAGAATTGGTGAATTTGAAGTAAGAACTCTCGCAAAATTTCTAGTTGAAAAGGTTCTTGAGAAAAGGCCTAGTGTTTAAAGTGCTACCTTGGAGTTAATTAGAGAATTACGTCAGTTCCACTGTTTATCAGTTAGATAATTAAACTTAGAGGCCAATAATGATTGTTTCTGTAGGTTATTCACGGGTACCAAAAATTCTGACATAGCTCAACGTTTTAGTTTGTGTTCGATATAACTAGTGATACGCTACCCTCGAGGAAATTGTAGTGCCAGTCCAGTTTGTACAAGGAACTAGTTTTCAGGGGGTTTATCAGGCATTGTCCAACAGAATGACAAAGTTAGATAATTTCAAACCAGTTTGTTTTCCGCAAATTTCAAATACCTTGCCTAGCAATAATTTTTAAGCCCCTGTTAGC